GTGTGTGTGTGTGTGTTGGGCAAAATAGTCTTTGTGGTTTCGGCCCAAACATAAGCACTTCCACTCATGAAATGCACGTTAATTCATTTTTAAAGCTCTTTGTTTTGAAAACCCTGCTCCAAATTTGTGCACTTTCTACTGCAACAGGTTTTGACAGCTTTGGGATCAAGATGTTTTAAAAGATTAAAAACAAGTAATGAATAGAGCAGTTGGTTTGAAGTAGCTTTTCTAAACTCCCAAAACTGGTTTATGTTTGTTTTTCWTATTAACTGGCAAATGGTAATCTGTTATTAGATATGAATAATATTATGTTATACTATCATTATAATGTAATTAAAATACAGTTAAATTACCTAGATTTTGCTGTAGCAAAGAAAGATTTTTTTATTCAATACTTTAACTTTCATAGAACACTTAACATTTGCACCAATAAAACATATCAAACAATAAAAAGCACTGAACTTCTTCTGCCTGTGGGATCTTCTCTCTAGTTAAATTAAGAAAAAAGAGGGAGTGAACACTAGTTCCTCTTTGTGCCTAAATTTTACTATCATTATTGCATGGACACATCCATCTGAATTCAATGTAAAAACGCTACTGAAACAATATGATAACTGTCAGGTTCCTCTTTTGACAAAATAACATGAAACTTGACTGTGTGCCAATAAAGAAAAAATGCATGAGATTTACAAGAAATATGAGGGCATAAATACTGAAATTTCAATTGAATGCCTGAAAGTGGCTGGTGACTTTATCAGAATAAGGGTTGATTTACTGTCACACAGGTCATGGAGGCAGATGTTACCTAGGCTAATTGTCCATGAGCTTAGGTGTCACACTTTGTTACTTAGTGGTGTATTTTAGAAAAAAAATTGTTTTGTTTCTTTCTGTGAGGAAATTCATATTTACCGTCCTTATTTTCTCATTTTTGTCATTTATCATACTACATTCAATATAAAACAGCACCCCTTCTCTGCTTTTATTAATATATAGGTTTTGTAGCTGCAAACAAGTTCTTATTTGTATCCAGTAGTTAAATATCTTCCTGTCTGTCTCTGCAGTCTGTGGTGATTTGTCATGGAGGACGAATCGGCTTCTATCAGGGCGACATCCGTCTCCTGCCCGACGACATGAAGGTTCTGCGGCCGACCATTTTCCCAGTGGTTCCTCGACTGCTCAACCGCATGTATGACAAGGTCAGCTGAATGGATAAGAGGGTTTTCAAATAATCTAATTGGAAAATTTTGCCTTTTTTTTTTCAAAAATACAATGTGAATGCCAAATAAAGTTTGCTGAAGATGCTGAAACTAATTTGTTAAAGTTAAAACAAGCTGAACAAAAGTTAAACTGAGCAGAACAGATGCTGAAACTATTAGACACAAACTAAAACAAGCAAAAATACAAGCTTAAATTAGCTGAAGCATGCAGTAAAAAGCTGAAACCTAAATTTAGCGAAACAATAGCTAAAAGCTAAAACCAACAAACAGTTTCAATGCAGTATCTGGAAGCTCAAACTCGAAGAACACAAGCTAAAACATGCAAAATGCAAGCTGAAATGGGTTAGACTATGTAATAAAAAGCTGAAAGCTAAAATTAGCTAAACTTTAGCTAAAAACTAAAACCAACAAACAGTATCAACACAGTATCTGGAAGCTAAAACTAGAAGAACACAAGCTAAAATAAGCAAAATTGAAGCTATTAGCTAAAAATTCACCAAATTAAGATGTTTGGTTTCCTCAAACGTTTATGTTGCTGCTAAATCTTAAGCTGGGGAATAGTTCTTGTAAGATACTTTGATACATTCTTAGTAGACCTATAATTTACATAAATATGCATTTATAACATGTGGGGGGAAAAAAACTCTATCCAGCTAAAAAATAAAAATGTGTGTTTTCTTGGACTTCCCTGCAGATTTTTAACCAGGCGAACACCCCACTGAAGCGCTGGTTGCTCAACTTCGCTGCCAAGAGAAAAGGTGCTGAAGTTAGCAGTGGAATCATTCGCAGTGACAGCATCTGGGATAAAATTTTCTTCAGTAAGATCCAGGTAAAGGCTGCTCAAACTGAAACACTGTTGACATCTCAGTGGCTCAGTGCAGAAGCCAAGTGTCAGTCCCAGTTTGTGTATAAATTTGATTAAAATCATTTTTATTTTCAAATTGTAACAGGCAAACATGGAAGAAGCATGCAGCTGGTTATTATATTGAATGTTCTAATTCTTTTCTGGGACATTAAGTGATTTCTCTCTATTTAGTTTGAAGGCTATCAACATACTTTCTTTTTTTGTGGTAAAAAAAAAACATGATTTGTGCATAAACCTCTTTCACCTTCAAGTCAGAGACTTTATTTGTAATAATAAGTTTCCATTTGACACAGGCCAGCTTGGGAGGAAGACTGAGGATGATAATTACAGGGGCAGCTCCTACCTCACCTACTGTCCTGGGTTTTCTCAGAGCYGCTCTGGGATGCCAGGTCAGACAATCACGCCTTTGTTTTCATCATTTCACTGTATCAGTTCATAGTACCAGACAAACAATAAAAAGTAGCTAAAGTGGTGTGTGAAGAAACAAGACATCAATGTATTGCTAAATTAGGCCCCCCTGAACAAACAGGATAAATAAAAAGCACTTGTGCTTCTGTGTAGGTTTATGAAGCATACGGCCAAACAGAATGCACGGCAGGCTGCACCTACACCACGCCTGGAGACTGGACCTCAGGTGAGCATCTGTTTTCTGCAAAAGAGAGACAAGGTTCTCACCTCCACTCAAACCACTGAACTTGTTTTGTTTAGCTTTCATTTCATTAAAAAACAAAATTTTATGTACAATAAAAATAAAAGAAAATACAAATACAATGAAATGAAAGGAAGCAGAGAGAAGAAAAAAATCTTATAATATCTGCCCCTTTTTTCCTCAAGTATAAATTCAAACAATAGTAATCTTTAGCTAACAAAACAAAATAAGAACATKAAATCTGTCTTGACCAACAACTTATTTGGTTATACATTATACTGTTTCATATTTTTTCAACAATCCAACCTTTATCACTCTCTTAAACATGTACATTGATTTGGCACTTTTAACATCATTTTCCAGATTATTCCACAATCTCACTCCTTGGATTGAGGTGCACTGTTCTTTCAAACTGGTTCTGAATTTATGTTTCATGAACATCTCTGTGCCCTTTAGATTATAACAGATCTCTCTTTTTGCAAAGTTTTTCTGGATGTTTAAAGGTAATGTGTTTTTGTGAGCCTTATACATAACTAACAGAACGTTATAATCAACCAAACCATAAAATTTCAATAATTTCAGTTTAAAGAATAATTATTAGATGGACAATGGTAATGTTTTCAAGTGATGACTCTTATAGATCTTTTCTGCAAAACAAAAACAGGATGTGTAATTGTCTTACATGCTTTCCCCCATTCCTCAACACAATAGACCAAGTGTGGAACAATTAATGTGTTATATAACATATACAGAGCTTTAACATTAAACTAGTCCCTTACTTTGTAAAGCAATGCAATAGATTTTGCAAGTTTTATTTTTAAGTAATTTAAATTAGGTTTCCATGTCAGTTTCTCATCAATAACAACACCCAAAAACTTTACTTCACCGTTTATCTCCACACCATCAACTCTAAATGGAATGTCAACAGTTCTTTGTCTCTTTGTAAATATCATATAATTAGTTTTATCCAAATTGAYTGATAATTTATTAAGTTTAAACCAGTTTTGTATTTTCACAAATTCTGCTTGCATTTTCTCTAGCKTCRYTTCTTATGTCMTTGTCCCAAACAAAAAAATGTGGTATCATCTGCAAATAAAACACATTTAAAGAGCCCTGACACATTGACCAAGTCATTCACATATAGGATAAACAATTTTGGTCCAAGTACAGAACCCTGAGGAACTCCACATGTGATTCCACAGAGTTCAGATCTTACATCATGTACTTGTGCAAACTGTTTCCTATTTTCCAAATAACTAGATATCCATTGTAATGCTGGTCCTCTAATCCCATATTTATTTAGTTTTTCAAGGAGAATGCTGTGGTCAATTGTGTTGAATGCATTCTTAAAATCAACATAAATACCGGTGCAATATTGTTTTTGATCAATAGCATTTGTTATTTGTTCTGTCAGTTRCATAAGAGCCATTGAAGTAGAGTTATTGGCTCTTAAACCARATTGACTGCTACTTAAAATATTATTTTTATRGAGAKYTTGGTCTAATCTGATCACAAATAACTTCTCCAAGATTTTAGAAAACTGTGGTAATAAGGATATTGGTCTGTAATTACTAAACATACATTTCTCACCATTTTTATAAATGGYAATTYCCTTGGCTATTTTCATGTTGTTTGGAAATGTTCCTGTTGAAAATGATAAATTACATATAWATGTAAAGGGCTTAATAYCATAACACATTATTTCCTTAACAAACATCATGTTGATCATAGACTCAGATCAAAGATCTAAAAGTGAGGACAGCAYTTCAGGATTTTAAGGAATAATCAACTCCCACGCTGAGGAAGAAATAATTATGCTCATTGTTGTTTGTAAACTAATTCGATGAATCGTTTTTGTCTCAACTGCCTTTTTTTCCCAACCAAACATTTATTTAACTGTGTACATGAAATCCCAGTGATGTAACTTAGACAGGGAGAAATATATTTGCTCCAAGTAAATGATTTATAGCTGTGGAAATCACAAGTATGCTGAGAATAAAAGACGAGCAAACAAGGCTGTGTATCTCTTCCTATAAAAGGGAAAAAGGGTGAGGCATTATGAAACAGGTGGAGATGAAAGCACAGTTAGGCCCAAACTCTTCTGGGTGATTTCCACCTTATACAAAAGATGAGTCGTTGTTTTAACAGTCTGTTTTTAGCTTTTTGTTCTGTTGTTTGGTTGTTTTCCGAAACCTGGTTTTGACACGATCTGAACGAGAATTAACAACCTATTGTGGACAGTCGACACAGTGACCGCTGGAGGTACCAGCTGCCTCACAAAGGAGAAGCAGATAAAGAAAAAAATCAGAAACTAAATTTAACAATTTTTAAAGTCCAGTTCAAATAGCCAAGCGATCAAGCCACAGAAAACAGAACAAAAGAAAAAGCGCATGGACTTCAAAATTAACTACAACAAATTAGTGAAAAACATTAAAAATGAACAAGGAAGAGATGTTTGAAACAAACATTTCAAAGTAACCTGTAAGCTTTGTGCCTCAACCTAATAGTGAGGCTGTAATTTTTATACTGTTAAACAGCAACCTCTGCTGAAACTAACAGAAATGTAGTGACACGGCGCCCCCTGCTGCTCATTAATGGTATCTTAATAAAAATCGTAGGAGTGACTAAGTGTAAGCATTTACATTATATATATA